GGTGAAAATATCTCCCTTGGTATCAGGAAAATCATCAGCATGCAGTTGCAAGAGGCTTGAAGAATTTCAAGAGGCAGAAGATAGAGATGGTAGATGATAAAAAAAGTAGGAATACTGTGAAAAGTGAAACGGCCTCAGAGTACAAGACTGATACTGAAGGCATTGTTCCTAAGCAGATTGATCGAGCAAAGAGCTTAGTTAATTGGATGAGCATGGACAATGTCCAAAATTTGTACGCCGAAAAATTTAAAGACTGCAACTCTGTTGCAGATTTCAATGAAACGGATAGTGATGATGCATGTGATGAAAATCTTGACGATGATATGGAAAATAGCCAAAGACATGAGGAAGTTGATGACAAAAACGAAGCCGTTAGTGCAGAAAAAGGTTACCGAGCTGTTGATGTTGACGAGGAATCAAATACATCATGCATGGGAAATTTTTCTGGTGATCCAGCCAGTAATGTGAGACAAGAAGATCATGAAAATCAAAAGAAAAGTTGCATATTATCAGCTCCATTATCCGAGAAGAGAGAAGTGAAAACACTACAAGGGAAAGAAATTAAGGAGAGTGCAGCATTTACAGCAGCAGCTGAGGTCCCTTCCTCAGGATCCGAACGCATATCACATAGTAGAAAGCCTCTGAAGTTAGCTTTCTGCCCAAAAGAGGTGAAAAGGATAATTGAGTCTGAAGCCCTTCTACAAAAGAATGCTCAGTCCCACACTATAAGGAAAATCATAGTTTTTGCATCACTTGCCATAAGGCATGGATGTGAGGATATGTACGAACTGGACTTCAATCATTTTAGCATTCTGAACAAAGGAGAACCATACCTGTCTCCAGAAAGCCCTGGGGTAAGAGCAATCCTTACAATGCTATTTCTCTGATGGAGCAAATCAATTAAAATAAGAGATCACTTTTTGTCACATTGTGTTTAGTTCTGGTTTTCATTTTTGTGTCATGCTCTTTGCATCCAGCAATTTTAATGGGATTGCAACAGTTGGAATGGGGTATTGAATTATCCACTTGTGCAAAGAATATAAAGGTGGAGAATATTAAAACTATAAAAGATGTAATTGGTATCTTGTAACAATTTCAGGAACTAACATTTTGCCTAAAATTTATAGTCTCGTGAAAAAGAATGCAACCAAGTCACTGGTTTGCCAAGCATAATTTAGACTTAGAAAAGTTAGAGATATTTCTATTTTATACATGTAATGATTTATTTTTCAATCTATGTAGGAGCATGTTTTATACGAGAATCCTGGTGTTCGGAGGAAAATATTTTATCCAAATAGAGAAAATCCTGTATTATGTCCTGTTGAGATACTAGAAGAAGAAAGAGCCATGCGTCCATCGGACGATAGCTGTCCATCATGGTTATTCTTGTGCATTAAATATGGTGGAAGGACAAGAAATCTTCCTCAAAATGAGTAAGTTTTGGAATGATATTGGTCTACTGCTACTTCCTTTTTTCATAGTACTTTCCTTTATTATGATTGCCATTGGCTCAAATGAATATTTTACTTCAAAACATTTATATGGAGTAATTTTTTGATTGAATAATACAGATATGTGAGACAGAGGATGGGAAGAAACAAACTGAAGTCTTTTGGTCCACTCATGTGCCAAATGGCAGTGTTGGTTCATTGTCGCAGTGGAAGCTTTTTCTTCAAGGCTTTGGGCATCACACTCCTGTTTATGGCAGGATTTCCTGATTATATAGTTCAAAGGGAAACCAAATACCGGAACTTAGACTTGCTTCAGAAATATTACAGGTCTATCTAGTCATATGCAACAAGCAATCTAAGCATAGATGAAACAGCAAGATACATGTATTTCTTGTTATAGAACAGCACAATTTTTAGGAGCATTGCTCTAAATCAGAGGATGTAACTTAAATAGGAAGACATTTAATGTAAATCAGAATATTCTCAGAAAAAAGTACTTACCACCAATTTTTCTTTTGCAGGACTGATGAGGATGCTGAAGGTGAGGAGTTGTTTCTTCCACATTCAATCGGATGTGACAATGTAAGAATATGAATCTCATGTAATGCACTGTTCTTTGTATGAGTCACCTTCCTGTTGTTTTTCTTTCAAAATCTCAATGAACAATTTCTAAAACCAAATTGAGGGAGTAAACTCAACTATCAAATTTTATTTCTATACATGACACACAAGTGTACAAGTTTTCATATAATAGCAGCAATTTTATCACACTTGTATTGGTTTTGGTGGCCTCAAAATAGCTTTTTGTTCTTGATGTCATTTGATAGCTTTTTCAAGCTTTTTACACTGTGTTGTTCTAGCAGGGTACTCCTGAACCCCACAAATTAACCAAGAAGACACTTCCTGCAAAATCCAAAGGAAAAAAGAACCCTAATGTCATCATCAAACAAAAGAACCCATCTCAACAGGAAGCACCAACAAGTTCAGCAGCTACTGAATTTGGTTTAACAGGCTATTCCTCAGCTTACACATATGCAATGGCAGCATTTCATTCAATGCCATCTCAGGTTTCTTCTCAAGACATTTCTCACATCCTAAATCCAGCTCTTGTCAATTCCATTACCAATGTCTCTGGTAATCATGGTATGCTGCCACCACAGCCAGCAAGTTCATTTGTGCCAGTGATGTATTGGCCTCCACCAAATGCATTTCTTCCTGGACCCTATACTTCCACATATGGTTATCATTCTTTTCCTGCTGCTGCAAACTACCTGTCAATCCAAACACAGCCATATTTCAATCATCCAAAGTCGCTAGAAGATAGTAGAAAGAATGATTTAGTCTCACATGAAACTAACAGTGACACTGATAGCAGCACTTCAGGCTGAGTCCTGCATTCCACAAATGATGGACACATTGCCACTATGACACGCCATAGATGATGTAATCGGAATGTAATAATTCTGTGCAGTTTGTAACAAAACATTACCAGCCTTAATATGTTCTTACCCTCTTCTATATTATATTTTTTCTGATTGCTGTACAATCAAGCAATTCTTTAATTACATCTTTCTATAAGCACGCTTAATACTACATGTTTGTTTTAGATTGGTGCGCATATTTATTAAACTGTGCAGTAATCTTAAACACCAAGAAATTAGGAACTTAGCCATGGCTAACAGAACAATAATTGCAATCCTTTTCTGTAGAATATGAAAGACCATTGATAGGCTAAGCTTGCTTTAGATAATGAAACCAAGGACATGTTTTTAGAGGTATGTCATACTAATATTGTGTACTTATTTATCTTATTTCTTTTTCCATATAGTTCTCCATGTTCTTAACAATTTTTAAGTTTCTTTTTGTACTATTGCAACTAAGCTTTGATAGTAGTTAAATGAACACAGTATTTTATTGTGTTTATATTTACTTGAATTAATTTGAAAAATAATTGAATAAAAAACCAAAAAAATATATATGGAAGTTTTAAGTTAAATATGATAGGATAGCTGAAAAATATGGCTAGGATAAAATCAGTTCAAGGGGTAAAATTTTTTAGTTTTAAGAAAAAAATACACTTAATAAAATATGCATGATTTAAGAATAAAAAAATATATAATTTAAGAATAAAAAACTTAATTACTCAACAAAAACATAAAACCAAAAATTAAAAAATCCAAATTAAGAATATTTATTTTTGTTTGAAAGATTTTTTAAAAAAAAAAATTAAAGAAACATATGTAATTTTTTTACTAAATATAACTTGAAATAGTAAAATTATTTTACAGTGAAATTTAAAAAGAGGAAAAGAAGTTTTTGAAAAACATAAATGGACATGTTTTGGTTATTGATAACTTATGATGAAACTTACTATTTTACTAGTAATTCCTATTGTGGTCCACATATATCATATTGCTTTTTTTAAGAACCTTATCCATTTTTGGGAAAGACCCATTTTCTTCAATCTTATTGTTCTGTCTGCCTCAATCAATTTCAATTTTGGTCTTAGTGTGAAACAATACTTATATTTAACTAACAAATCTCACCAGTCAATTTGCCAAGACTTACTAACAAAGACCTCCACACTTTTTTCTGATATTTCACTGCTTAATTTCAAATTTCTATTCTGTCATTTCTCATTGCTGATTGCACACAATTGCAGTTATTTGTTCTGAAACACAGAAATAAACCATCTGAATAAAGACGATTTTCTTTTTGAGAGATGAATAAGATAGATATTCACTCATAAAAAAATTATTAATGGATATATTGGACTCAATTTTTATTAAATAAAATAATTTGAATACAGTTTTTAATAAAATTTTTAATAAATTATGGAATAATGATTTCTTACAATTTATCTATCCAAAGATGGACCCAATTTATGCAGTTAGACGAGTTCTTCTGTACTTCCTACCAACCATTTATTATTTTTGTCCCAGATCTACGTACTGATTGCTTACTCAATTTTCTAACCTTCAAATAAAATCACATAAGATAAATATAAAAAAATTGTTAGTTAAGTTTCTTCTGATTTGTATGGTTTTGATCATATTTAAAACTATTACTGTGAACTCTCATCTCAAATGCTGTGGTGGGTGCATGCTGTGAAGTTACAAGCCTTTGAATTCTAGGCATTGGTAACAATAATTTTCCAAAACACTTTATCTTTTTACCTTTCCCAAAAGTAAAATATTTCACTTTTATATAATGGCAATGCTATGGTGGCTACTTTAACAAGTGGTACATATAACTTTAAACTCTTTATGACCATAGATCTTATCTAACTATGATGGACCAGTTATACATAGGATAGTATCTATGAGCAATTATTTTACTCTGCAATTATACATATGCTTGGTTTAATGTGTTTGCCAAGCTACATTCAAAAGAATGAGGACAATTTAAAAAGACTATGCATTTTGTTACTTGATAGATTCCTAAATTTTGCTTCATCTAGTCTCTATCATGGAGCCTATTTGAATAGTATAGATAGCAATGTAAATATCATGATTATGTTGAAAGAAAGAACAAACTTCTGAGTGTGGATACCATAAATATTGTTGTCACTGTCATCCATGACAGCAATCACATGCATACATTGATATCATAATTAACACTGTGAACATGTCCTTCTACCCAACTTCTACTAGCATACTAAATATATCATCCTTATTGAAATAAAAAAACAACAGTGACGGTCCTCACATTCCCATGAACCTGCCGACAAGGCAACCTACTCATTTAAAATAAAACACAGCATAATATTTTACAGATTTCTTCCTCACAGAGAAGGAGGAAGAATTTCAAGGCTCCTCACGGTGCTTGTTGGCAAGATTGCACTGCTTTCTGATCTCTCCCTTTGTGCCAGTGAGAGGATTGTTTTCAGAGAGCAAGGTGATGGCTCTAGAAAACTCCTTGAAGAAATAGTCTTGGCTCTTGGCCATTTTCTTCACATAAGGCTTGGTCCTCTTGTCATTGGCTAGTTGGTGATCCACTATCAGCAACCCCTTGTTGTCCAATATGTTTCTGTAGTAGTTGTTGTCTAGAATCATGGGGGTGCCACGGTCGTTTCTCACATACTGCACGGCCTTCGGATCTGGAATGGCATCAGGGCACTTCTTCAGCATGTGAGGGACATGGTCGGGGTTCAGTGCCGAATCAATCTCCGGGTACAAACGGTGCACCAACTTCACACAATGTGTTCTACCAACACTGTGTGCTCCTGTTCAACAAAATATCTCAATCATTATAACTTAAATCAGCAAGCAATAAAGCCACTTTCTGAGCATGTAATTTCTTTAGCATTTTTTCATGTCTGCTGTTTTCAAGTTTAATATATCTTTATCTCTGATTCATCATCATACAGAGCCCACTTACATTTATGTATGCATTATGAAGGGAAATTATTACATATACAGGGACCACTAAGGTCACAAAGTCCAAATTTTGGATGAAATAATCAAGTACGGTGGTGCAAGATTTGCATAATAATTTATTGTGTATGTAGATGATGGATTATGGAAGGGTGTATGTAGATTAGTGCATACCAAGCAAAGCAACCACCCCGGGAGTGTCAATTCCCATGGCACCAAACTTGTCAAGAACTGAAGAAATGGACTCATTGTGGTCTGGGAGGAACTGTTCAACCACTTCAGCTCTGCTCCTTCTACCATCCCTTCTTCCAGTTTTAAGAGGGATATGGGGGCCTCCTAGCTGCAACACATTAAATTTGGTTGGCTTGAATCAAAAACATTAACTATAAGAATAATTTCTTGCAGTTGCCAAAACAATTATGGACTCCAAATTCTACTTCCTTCACACTAAAAATAGAGCGATCTGGTAGAAACAGTTGACAGATTTGGGACAGCATATTTAGCTCTCAAAAGTGAACTTCCTTAAAAGATGAAAAAGGGTGAGGAAAGTGAGAAGTGGAAGAAAACAAAAAGAAAGGACAAGGTGTTAATTACCGAAACAATGCCATCTCTGGCAGAGAGAACGAGTATATCAGCACAGGAAACAACTCCCGGACACTCCCTTTCCACAGCTTCTTTGATGGTCTCAATGTACCTGAAATTCCTCAAACCAAAGCTTCTGTCTGTCTCCTTCTCAGACAAGGTCCTTCTTGTGGAGTCCAGCAACAGTGAAGCATCACAGCTCTACCCAAAAGAAAAGGCAAACTCTTTCGTTAAAGATTAACCGACAAAAGCCGTAAAAAGCTTAAGATCATGAAACTTGCAAAGAAAAAAGAAAACGCAAGATTAATGAATGACCTGAACAGCACAGTCATGGAAGATGTTTCTGAGCCAAGAGAAAGCAGTGTTCTTGTGGCGCTTGTAGAGAAGCTTGACTTGTTCTTTGATGATGTCTTCAGCCTGAGGACAAGTTTCCTTGTAGAAGTTCATGACAAGGCCATTATCTTGTGCAAGAGAAGGACTCAGGGACAGTGCTGAAAAGGATAACACAGCCAAAAGAATCAGAGACTTGAGAGCCATTCTCACTAACTCACTCACTCTCCTGCTTACACTCTTCTCTGCCTCTGCTTAAATAAAGCCCAAGTGCAAATAAAGATAAATAATGAAAAATGATATTTCACCTATTTTTTCCATTCATTTCACATTACTATTTCTTATTTTTTATTAAAATTCATTTTTTTTCATAATTATTCTATCTTACTAAATAATGCTGGTGATGGCTTCATCATCATCCAAAGCCACTCACTTACTAAATTAATTAATTAATTAATTAATTACGGAGCATGTGCCTGTGCTACGTAATCCACTCGTTGCAACTTTTCTTTTTCCTGGTTCTGGCTTCCAAACTTGGACTTTGTGACACGCCGTTACATTCATGCATCATTCAATTGTTGTCGTGTTTTTTTTACTGAGAAGAAATTAATAATTAAAAACCTATTATTATTATTTGTGAATTTAACATTATATAAAAAATCTTTGAAATATAATTTGAAGATATGGTATGGGAACAAACTCATGCCACGTGTGGAGCACAGATGCAAGGGGCATCTTTGACCTTTCCCTCTCATTCTCAAGATTCAATTTCTTCTGGAAATTCAATACCCCTCTTGCGTCACTCTTCCAGATTTTATTCTCCCATAATAGTGTAAGGATTATTTTACCAACTAATAATCCATTTTGGGAGACCCTTATTGAAAGCAGTCAAGCTAATTTATTTTCTCAACATTAATTAATTAGGGAAAATGACACTTGAACAACCATTTTTGACAACATTTAGACACGCGCACACGTGTCAAAATCTGAGTGGTCCAGTTAGAAAAATTAAATGAAAATGGACCACTCAGATTTTGACACGTGTGCGCGTGTCTAAATGTTGTAAAAAATGGTTGTTCAAGTATCATTTTCCATTAATTAGATACTAGTTAGATGCGTTACTCGTTTCGAGATAATGTCTACCACCAAGGACACTTATTTTGTAATCCCAATTATATCTAATCACCCAAGTATTAATTGAACATTAATTAGGACGACTATGACACTTATGACTGTCTTAGTAAAAATTTATTCAAAAATATTATAAATAAATAAAGATTTTAAGATGACCATTATTTCTGTACTATGTATATATATATATTATCACGTCCATGAAAATTATTGCAAATTTTATTATTTATTTCTCTTAATTCACACCATTTTATTCTTTATTTCTTTCGATTTTCAACTGCTAAGAGAGAATTTCATTGGATTATTAGATGGCCGATGGCTGATGGCTTGAGTCTGAAGCTGAGTGTGGCTCAGTGTGGCTCAGTGGGACCATCAGAGCCTCTACCACCGACAGTCAGTAATAATGGATGGAAAGAAGTTGGACCTGTCTTATCTTTTTTTTATCATATCCTCGTTCAAACGTCTAAATGTAATCCAAGTATAAATGTACTTCACTCCATGCATCAACCATATGCTTCCTTAGCGTCGCAAACATTTATTTTCACAATAAAGTGAAAAATTAAAGTACAATTCACAAAAAAATTATTTTTTTATTTATCCATGCCATACAATTTGGCAACGCCTTCATGCATGTTTTACCACAACTATCATTAACGTCTTCATGGTATCAATGTCTTTTTTCACTCAGAAAGTCAGAAATTGACATTTTCAGGTATCTCTTGTGGCAAAGAAATATTTCCACTACCACACCAAATGACAATATTTTGTTGCCATATCATTATCGAGAGAGCGTTATATCGTTCTCTGTATTAAACACTGCCTTGAAAAGCAAATTCACAATTTTAAAACCTTTGTTAATATACTGTACTTGCCACCTTTCTTCCACTTAGGATTTAACACAATCACCACAATGTAAGGCTTTTTGTTCAAGAAAAAGAAAATGATCAACATAACTCGTTTGCTGATGTGAAGACAACAAGCAACAAGAGATTAAGTGAGCTTAGGATTCATTATAAATATGGAATTTTAGTTCTTGAAAACCAGAATAGCATCAAATGTTTGTCAAAGAAAATGACCCTGACCAGAAAAATGATTAACGTTCGGCCTTAAACTAAGTTTCGGGATTTCCACTTCCCACCTGTATTCCATCAAGGAGAATTGTGATTATTACAACATTTTGGGTTACAATTAAAAATATGCCTAGATAGCTTCATTTAATACAGTACAGCAATAACAATGAGATTATATAAAATACCTGTATAGAATAAAAAAAGGAGAAGCAACTATCAGTATGGGCTTTCATTGTAGCCCAAACTAATTAATACAAACAATTGAGTTAGCTTCGTGTTATAAATATAATATGAAGCGTTCCTCTCAATTTTGAAAGCATAAAATTATCTCCAAAACATGATGCATAAAAAGTATGCAGAGGTTGTCACTACTAAATTCAATAACTATAATCCACTCCGCAACCTCTTCCACGTACAATATGTGCCAGTCCGAACGAATAGTTTCCGAACTTCAGCAATCCAGACTCGGCATTACACTGACTGCATTCAGAGAGCATTTTAACCTTAAATATCAGCTCATTCACTATCTTTGGATTTGTCTGCATCTTACATCCACCACAACGTGACGAATATGTGGAGCATACCATTTTACCCTCTCAACATGTTCTATAGAAATCTCCCAGCAGCAACCTGTGGGTTGACCAGTCGTAATTCCCAAAATTAGATTTGCAGTGGGACAACAGAAATTGTTGAATAATTTAAAAACATGTTGAATAATTTAAAAGTATTTATAAAACGATGCTACCTTCCGATCTAGCGATGTCATTTATTGATTTTGCTACATGATCAATCCACTGACTCTCCTCTGAGTCTTTTGTATTCCCATGGACATGTAAAACTCCACCCTCTCTTCTGCAACGTTAATTCAATGAGAATGAAATCAACAATGAAAGTAGAGGCCAATAAGCCAAACCATACCAGAATTAAGTTAGTCATGTTATATTCATACTTGTCTTCATTTTCTAGGATCATACATTGATTCCAATATAGTAAGATTTCAGAGTAATCAACTGAATTAAGAAACATAAATTTGGTTAGTTACTACAGTTCCAGATGTAGTGCCTTTTTAGGCAATTAAAATACATGAGATGTGAACCACGGCTTTTGGGATCATTATGATTAAACTTGGTAGAATTAGTAGACAAGGCAAATAAGCCAATTTGAAAATTAATCAGAAACCAGAAAGCAAAGACAAATACCTTAAATATGTTGAAAGCAATGATACATAATAGTATTTCCAATTACCTTAAAGCCTTCACAGCTGTTACCCAGCTAGGTTCACTAGATGGAATGAGACCAAGACAAACTCTATCAGCCATACTCTGTAAATCGGAAAAAAAAAATAGTCAACCAACTCCATTAAAATATTTCCTCCTACAAACATTAGTGTCAAGAATCAAAGAATCCATTTTCCTTAGACATCACAATTTCATAGTTAGTGTTCACAATGGTTGGCTTTGAAAATGGTGAACGGAGCAAATAGTTCATTGATCATGTTTCCTTCATATTTATCTTATAACCAAACAGGAGGATAAAAAACTCCCAATTTCTCTTCATCTTCCTTTTATCCAACAAAGGGAAGACGAATATTACAATCGTTACATAATTCCTCTGGACAATTTTCTTCCCCTTCACATAATTCCTCCTTATCTACAAAAAATGGTTTTGACTGATAGCTGTTGTAGTCTGTTACAAGTTAAAACTGTCTTCTTGTATTTTCTGACAGCTGTTTTTTATTTTACAGTTATAACTGCCATCATGACAGTTATATAACTGTTACAGCTGTCACCTTGCCAGCTGTAGCTTCTCATCCATAAATACTTTGTACAGAGAAACCTTTATGTAATATTCTACATCAAGAAATACAATAATATACTTCTTTTCTTTCTATCTCTATATTCGATATATATTAACCACCTCAGAATGTTGGCAATCAATCTTTTGATTAATCCTCCTAAATGAGAAATATGTTTACCAGCAATAGGGATGGAACCTAAGGGCAATCAAAGCATTGCTGACACAGGGTGAGGGGTGTCTGATTTGTGACATGAAAAATTGATCATTGGTTTCTCCACAGTTGAATTAGTAAGTTAATGTGAAGTGCAGAAAGGTTTATCTGTGACATAAAACACAGTTTTAGACGGATTATTGATGAGAGTGGTTGTTAGATGGTGAATCAAGCTCTTTGAAAGAATTCAACAGGAAGATGGCACTGGTAAATGCAATTTCTCTTTGCAGGGAGAATACATATGAAAAGTTAAATACAAATACTATATACCCTGGGAGCAGTAACTCGATTATCTCCTTCAAGTATGATACAACGATCAGCCACAGAATTTGCTTGGAGATTATGTCGGAGTGCTTCTACTGCATGTGGATTCCACTCACAAGCATATACAAATTTTGCCTTGGCCCTGCTTGAGGACATGCAAAAACAATATGAATAAATATAGGGCTAACATTATTACACACACACACACACACACACACACACACACACACACACACACATATATATTAAAAAACCTCAGAAGCAAGCAATGCTGGAAAATAGAATATTTGAAGTCTTGGTATTTGAGCTTAGGACTTAGGCCCAACTCTATTTCACAAAATTCGTTTGTGAGGTGAATAGTGAAAACTGTTCCAGCTTTATAAGGACTCCTTCAGTCATATCTCTAGTTGATATGAGATGTCAAAACACCCCCTCACACCTAAGAATAGACATTTTAAGCACATACACAAATGCAGGTTACCTAATAACAAGAGCATATACAAATACTTTGATACCATCTTACAATTTCGATCTAACCTAACTTCACAAAACATATTTGTGTGTTGAAGACTGCTTAAGCTTTATAAAGACAATTTTGACCATATTTCTAGTTAATATTGGACGTCAGCAAGAAAATATTTCCAAACCTCAAACTCTGTTTAATAGAAGTTCAAGAGGCATGTCCCATCCCAGCCACCAAACGTTCATATTTAGACCCAGAATGTATTTTATGGTGTTTGCAAAAAATAAATTATCAAATTTTGTTGACAGTG